ATGTAGTAAAGTAAAAATGTTCCAAATGTAAATCAATTATTCGATGTGGAACATAAAAATGATATTTCAATTATCCTATTTTAAATATAATTGTGATTTGACGGAAAAACCAAATAATTAATTTAATAGTTTCATATTAGTTAGTTATTGGTGTTAATATAATTAGCACTAATGGGAACAAATATCTCAGTAGCTAATGAAGCATTTAAAATTAATTAATCCCTTTCTTACATTCTGTTTCATAGGTCAACAGTCACAATTGTAACAGAGGAGGTTAAAAAACCAGAAGTGTAAGTATCAGGTGACCAAAAAAGTTTAGAAAGTCACTTAATAAAACAATTGCAGTCGAGTCTTCACGCACAAACTGCAAATCGCAGTTTATAACCCAATTTTTCTGTAGCGTAGAACTTCATGAATGAAACTCTTCTCTTAATAAGACAGTGATTATGAAAAATGTGAGAAATAAGGAGTGCATACACAGTTTTAGTCGTAAATTCTGAAAGAAAGAGGGCACTTGAAAAATCTACACGTAGTTGCAATGTTGATATTAAAGTGAATCTTAAAGAAATAGACGAGGTTCATTTAAATCAGAACAGGGACCAACTGCGGGCTCTTAAATATATAAATAAACCTCAGTTTTCCGTAAAAGCCGATGGATTCTTGACTAGATAAACGTACCAAGGAATTTGCTTTATGCCTTCAGTGAAGAAAGATCAGACGTCTTTATTCCAAAACAGTTTTCACTTCTGTATTGAGCTATTTACATGTCTTCTATAAAAGAAAAGTAGAATAGCGTGTCTCATGACCGTGTGGTGTTCCTTAAATCACTGAATTTAGTGAACAGTAGAAATTCCTGCTTCTCTTACTGTGTATTTGCACTAGAAACATTCTGCGGAGCATCGTAATTGCTGTTCCCTTGGTAACCGTGACGTATTTCATGATGAACGTAGCCTACATGACTGTCCTCACCATCCCCGAGATGACCACATCAGCAGCAGTGGCTGTGGTAATTACAATTTACCTTTAAAATTAGTTGCAGAATTGTAATTTAAATGTTAGGACACTGTGCACTTAAATAATCGAACTGTAATATTATTTACAATTTTACATTGAAATCGTCATGGTAGGATTTGAGGTTTTCACGGCGGTGATTCTGAAAGATGGCTGTCTTCTGGGTTGTGGCGCCGTGTAGCTTAGGAGAAATTTGCCAACATACAACGCAGAAGACAATCGTCTTTAAAATGGTTATACTAAATATGCGATAATTTTTCCGGTCATTCTGTTTAATTATTTAGATAAACTACATAAATATGATGTTTTAAATTGGAAACAAATTTTCTCTGCATCTAACGAAATTTGAGTTATGTTCAGCGCTTCTAAATATCCTGCTGTCCTGGGAAATATTTAACAGAAAATAATGTTGTATGGTACGTTTTTTTAAATCTCATCAGGATGTTAATCCATTAAAAATCATATTCTTTTCTATGTGTTTTGCTACAGTAATGTAACACGGATTAAAAATTGCTGCTTCGTGTTCGGGAGGTCCCGGGTTTAAATCTCGGTCTTCATTCAACATTTCTAAATCTATAAAGCTGGAACAACACCTGAACGGCTATTAATGTTCCAGACGTTTGCTGATAAAGTACTTGGAGTAATGAATTTTATTATTCCCCTTGGAGTGGCGCTGTCAACTTTTGGGTGTGCGTTAAGCATCCAATTCGGTGTAACAAGGCTGTGTTACGTCGCTGGCAGAGGTGGTCACATGATAGAGGCTTTCTCGTACATACACATGAGACGCCTCACCCCTGCACCAGCCGTGTTATTACAGGTCAGTAGGTAATTTTTTAAAAAACAAATTAACAAACATTTATGATCAATTTGCAGTAATTTAAAGGATATCAAATCTAAAACTTCTTGACGATGGTGAAGAGTCAATTGAATAAAAGTTTTCTTGGATATTATCTATCGTCTAGTAAATATAAAACGTAAAAACGACGTTTCGGAGATGGGACTCTATCTCCGTCTTCAGGTTCCTAAACAGTTGGGCCCACTAGATAGAGCTAATCCCTATCTCCGAAACGTCGTTTTACGTTTTATATTTACTAGACGATGGATAATATCCAAGAAAATTTTTATTTAATTTAAAGGCTATTTTACATTTAAGTATATTAATATCATTATCAATTTAGCACAACTGCTGGAGAGAATTTATTATAACTATTTTTAATATTTTTAAACCTGTACTAGCATCTACCACAATTCAGTTTACATCTTGAAAAATATTCTTCAGACTAATTTTAGTATCATCCTCCAATGTGCTTCCCATTGAAGAGAGTTCTCTTAAAAAATAACTAGCAAATATTATTTCTCACATCGTAACTGGATGCCTAGCCTACTAGGTTCTTAGGGACTCTTTTATCTGACAAGTGTCGCAGTTCGCAAAGTTCAGATATACAAATAAGAACAGGAGAGTTTCACCATAATCATGTAGTAAAACGTAAAGCAAAGGTTAATGTACAGAAAATTTAGGTACATGAATTTATATGAGATGATAAGTTCTCGCGGCAGTGAAGGTGTTCATGATGGGTGATCTGGCTTGGAATGCGGCGTGAATTTTGATACTAAATCTGGAGTGTCAAACATAGTTCTTGCAGTATATTCAATGTTATCTTACAATGTAAAAATATTATTTTAAAACATTTCGAACATTTTAAAGATCACTAAATAATCACTTTTAACATATTATATTAAATTTTGCCAGACATTTACACAGTAGTCATTTTGGCATTCAGGTAAATCAAAATTTACGAAGACAGCGTAGGATACGGCAGTATGACATTAATACCAAGTTTAATCAAAATTTCTTTGTTTACAAGTTATTAATAAATAAATAACTCCCCTGTAAAGATACTGACTGTTAGGATTTGAGGTTTTCACGACTGTGAGTCCGAATATGGCTGACTTCTGGGTTGTAGCGTGATGAGTCATCGCCCTGATGATGGAGGCAGTAAGGACCTTTGAAACGTCGGCAAACTTCTACCAGACTAAACTGCTCTATAGCCCAGAATACAGCCTTGTTATGCTAAAAGTTTCGTAGCTGGTCAAAGAATTTCCTATTCTTATGGAATCTGAAAGATTAGTTTACAACCGTGTTCACAAAAGACTCTATTCTCATCCAAATCAATCCTTTCCATGCCTTGACATTCAATATTACTTACATCCCATCTTCAATTAGATCTCCCAGTGGGTCTCTTCTCCAAATGTTCTTCAGCAGAATTTCCGTATGAAGTTATGACTTCCCCATGCATGCTTCATGTCGTGCCCATCATATCTTTCTTGATTTAATTATTTTAGTGATATGTGAAATGTACATATTATTATGAATAATGATTTAAACTTGTTTTCAATGCAGGGCGTGCTGTCTTTTATCTTCATCATTGCTGGAGATATCGCATCTCTCATTGACTTTGCCAGTTTCCTTATTTGGATCTTCTATGGAATCGCAATGGTGGCTCTCTTAGTCATGAGAAAGACAAAGAAAGATGCAGAAAGGTCGTACAAGGTATTCGAAATAACTTTGCTTTAATATTGTTATGAATTCTGTGGGAAATTCCGTTTTAAACTGGTCTTAATATCACCTTTTTCATTCCAGGTTCCGCTAGTTTTTCCGATATTCATAATCTTTGTGTCTCTGTTCCTGTGTCTGGTACCAATAATCACTGACCCATCTCCAAGATACTTCATTGCCGTCATTCTAATTGCACTTGGGATCGCAGTGTACATTCCATTAATTTTCTACAAGGTTCGTCCTCAGTGGATGGGTGAGTACATTAATATTATTCGGTTCAGATGTGAAGCTGGCCGTTAAGAAATGAGGGAAGGCTGGTCTCATCTTTTAAAGTGATATCTGATAACAATGATTTTTTAGAATAAAATTGAGTTATTTTATTTCAGAAGAAAATGTTCTGTGACCCCCTTAGATTTCAGTTCTAATTTTCCGTAATATTCTGCTCTTAAAAAAAAATATTGTAATTGTTTTTCTACTATGTCAGATAAATTTATAAGTACCATTAACCTATGATGAAAGTTTGAAAATCTGGGTGTAATTCGGCTAATAATATTTGTTTTTTAATATAAAGAAAATTAACAAACTTGCCAATGTAACTTTGTTCCTGTTTCAGACAAGTTCACATACTTCATACAAGTTCTAATGGAAGTAGTACCGACAGAACAACACCCAGATTAGTTTATACCCACAGAAGAATAATATGAATGTCCTCAAAGTAGATCGAATATTTTCACCAAAATTAGCAGCAGTATTCTGCTTTAGTATTAGATAGCCTCATACTGATATTAATCTGTGTGAACCTACGGTCATCTTGGTGGCATATTAATGCATTAAAATCTTCGTGAAGTAAATTTTAAAATTATGTGCGTTTCGATTATATTAATATATGCCGGTATGCACATAATATTTTCTATACGTAATGATATAAAAATATTTTAAAGTTAAATGAAATATAAATACCAAATAAATCGACTAATTTAATTTATGCACTCAGACATCAGTAATGCAAAGAGAAAGTAAAATATATTAAAATACAATATTTTTAGAGGTTCTGTGAAATGTGAGTTTAGTGTAAAGATATTCTAAATTATGCGAGACAGTTTTGCAAAGAGGAAAATATGCCTATAATTTTTTAATATTTTTTTTTACAAATTTATATTACAATCAATTTAATAATCTTGACATTATTAATCTTCACGTATTTTACAATAAAATAAAATAATTTCGATAACCGGTGATTGAGTACAAGGACCCTAATTTGTAACAGACCTTTATGATTGGAACAAAATATCATATATATTTCCAGATGTGTATAATGTTTTCTGTGTTTGTAATATTGTGTGTCCTTGTTTCTGTATTTGGTGTTCACCATCATTATCAATCCATTACCAAGACAATCGATTTTCCTTCTCCCAACCCGTAAGACAGCAGCTCAAAACCGCTTTTTAGTCGAAGCTCCTTGCAAAAGATTGGGGCCTCCAAACCTACAAATTGAATTAAAATGCGAAGTTATTTTCAGAAAACAATTGATAACGAACCTTAATGATATCAATATCAGTTAAATGGTTGGCACAACTGCTTCATATTCAGGAGGTGTCTGGTAAAAACCTCGGTCCGGCGACCGGCAATGCTAAATGTGGTGATTTTCCTCAGTCCCTCTGCTCAAATGCTGGAATAGTAGTTTAAATTAGGCCACGATTGCTTCTTTCCACATCCTTTCCAATTCATTCGTCGTTTATTTTCCGACGCTATGTAGTCTGCGCTACTTGCATTGTCGTTAAACAAACATCAAATAAATAAATGTGTGTAAAATAATTTTTCTACTTAATTCTGTGTTTATAATTTTGTGTGGTCTTCTTATCAGTTTAAATGTCTTATAATTAGATCCGCTGAATTTGAGTCTGAACTTTCTGTAAAATGAAGTTAAGAGCTGATTATCTTATCTCCTTGTCATAGAACCAATCGACTAAATAGTTATTGATTTATATAAGTTTAAAACTACGTAAGAATGTTTTAATATTATTAAACTCACATTTTCCAACAAAACCAGTACCTATTTATATAAATATGAAGCAATAACATAATTTAAACTTTAAGATTAATAATAAAAGATAAAAATGTAGAGTTGCACATTTATTTACAAATGAATATACAGTCGATCAAAAGTATATAATTATGCAAAAGTAGAGAGTATGAAGAGAAACGTAGACATCTAATTTAATGAGGGCTATGATGCCATATTCTTACAAAGCATTTATATGTCAGGCATAAAGACGTTATCGAAATTCAAAGATTTGCTTCTGATTACAAGCGTTGATTAGAAAGGAATGTCCTTTGTTTCTTTAATTAATAACACACTTAAAGTCAGTTGATTCATTGCATAGAAAATATTTTCTTTTTTGAATATTACGTACTTAATTTATAATTCAGCTACATTCTTTTTATCATAATCTGAACACGTAACAGTTGCATATTCTGTCTTGTCGACACTTTCAAAGAGTGAGTAACACAAATATAAAACACCCACATTTAACTATTCCAAAAAGTATTTTCTGCCCCACCAGATGTCTAACATAAAGTCATTTTTCTTACATTTTCTTTAACTTACTGTTAGATGACCATACATGGCGTAGTATATAAAGTGATGACATTATTTCGTTACTACGCGGGTATGTTCGGTTTAGGTGTCTAATGCATGAAGCGATCTCTAGGATTTACAAGTTATAACACCACGTGGCTACATGGCGGAAAATGATAGGAAAGGCGTGTTCATTCTTCAATGCAAATATTATTATGCATAGAAGAACAGATAGAAATCGTCGTGCTAAACACTACTGTTAAATTAAAATTATAATATTTGGTTATTCCGTCAAATCACAATGTATTTAATAAGATAATTAAAATAATTAAAATATCATTGATCGGATACGGTAATACTTCTGGATCACCTCCAGACACAACTGAGTTGTCTACTATTTCATCTCTGGTATGTTTATTTTACTTTCCTTATAATATTATTTATTTATTTAATTGTTTTCTATATTCATCCATATTCATTAATGTTTCTTTGAATCATTTACTTCACAGACCGATGTAAACATCAAAAGCATCACTTCAAACAATAAAGTTGATCCATTATATGAAAATATCTGGACACGACCTCCGAAAAACTACACTACGAAAAATTGTAAAAAAAATTGTAATTGAGTTTTAAATTTAATATAATTTTACACCTGATGATGGTTTAATAAAACCGAAACATGTTGTAACTGTTCCAATTGTAAATCGATTATTCGATATGGAGCACAGAATGATATTTTAATTATCTTATTAAATACATTGTGATTTGACGGAATAACCAAATATTATAATTTTAATTTAATAAATCACAATATGACGCAACTACACTATCTTATGAACTACTGTTAAAATTAATGTTTCGTATGACAGGAAGGCAATTCAAAGGACAGCATACATTTAAAGACGTATAGTAAAGCGCGGTTTACATTTTGCGTAATAAAGACGGTTTGGGAACTCCTCTCGTCGCCCACCTGCAAGAGCGTGTCTGTTCGTCATTTCTATGTCACGTTGTTTTCGCGGATGGATACTTGAAGCACAGACAGCGAGCCCTACTTCGCATGTTTCCGCCAAAAAAAAATAGGCCGCACAGTCTCGATTAGTGTGGTAAGAACGGGTGGATGTGTCTGTACGAGGTCGTGAGGTGGAGCTGGTTGGATGACGTTGTCGAAATCTGTGACCTTTATCAGCTCGGTTATTGTGTGGGGGCGGACCGAAGAACTCACTTATTGGAGGGCGTGCTATTTATTATGAGGTCGGTAACGATGTTTCACTTTGTTGTTGTATGGGGCAGAGTGTGGATGCAACTGATTTGACTTGAGGCTGTACCGTGAAATTGGACTTCAAATATAAGTGGAAAGGAACCGTGTCGAGGACGGACCATCGCTTAGTGCGGAACACTGATATGGGCAGGAGACACACAACTGTAATGTATTGAAAGTAGGAGCCTTTCTGTTTGGTACACTCTGTAGTTGGGAAAGTATAACCGTGGGCAAACTACTTGGAGCGTGATAGACCTTAAAAAAAACCCCAAAACCCCCCACTTATTTGAGGTTTGAATTCTGGAGAGCAGTCCAAGTCACACACGTTTGTAATTTCAGGAGTAGAATATCAATTTCCTAGATCTGTGATGTCACTCAGACTCCAAGTTGTTTGTCAATTACGACAGTACGGCGGGTAGGCCACGAAACCCTTTACTAAGACACGCTTGTTCCAACTGTCAAAATAATGCAAAATATTTAAATGATAACAAAAAAAGTTAAAATAAGTGTTGGGAATTTCCGCGGAGCTCAGCGTTGCATGTACGTATTCACTCTTTTTCCTCATGTTCAACCTGGAGGAGACTTTCTGCAGTGGCAGTGCTTCGATGTCTTCTGATGTGCGCGGGGTGTTTTTGTAAACGCTCTCCTTCAACTCCCCCATCCCCCAAAGACAGAAATCCGGGAATCGAGGGACTGAAAGTTTAGAGAAATAAAACGACCACCAAAGAACTCGCTCAAAACCTGAGTTTTTAAATTTGCTGTACGCACCGTAGTCTTGTTCGTCAACTTTCAAAAAGGAATTAATTATTCGGTTTTGTCCGTCTAATCACAATTATATTTAAAATTTACAAATAAGATAATTAAAATATCATTTTATGTTCCACATCGAATAATCGATTTACATTTGGAACATTTTTACAACATGTTTCGGTTTCATCGAACCATCTTCAGGTGTAAAATTATATCAACAAACTTAAAACTCAATTAACTTATTGAACCATGCCTGTTCGGATACGCTAGTACTTCTAGACACCTCCAGACACATCAACGTGTCTACACTCTCATCTTTGGCCGATGTAGAACATCAAAAGCATTTCCCTTCAAAACAACACATTCGCTCCAATATGTGAAAATAATCTGGATATGAACATCACCAAAAA